CGTATGCCTTCACGTCGGAGATAATCGGTGACGACTTGGGCACGATTGGGTCTGGCAGTGTCATCTTGCAGTTCAAAATCTCTACTCATAATTCTAGCAAATAGTACAACGAAAGGACGCAACATTTCATTAGCATATCACTGGCCAGTTAAATGTCCTTTCACAATAACGTCGGTTCGCCTGCCATGTGTGATACCGCCAAGCACCATAACACAATCACCCCATACCGACAACACCTTGATTCGTCTGTAAAACGGCGTAACGCCAGTGGGGCACAGAACGTCGTCATATATACTGAACAACAAAAGTTCCTGTGAAAATGAATAAGATTTAATGCAAAGTTATGTTTTTTACCAAATCTGAAACAATTTCGGTTTGCAACAGAGAAAGGCTCCTGTAAGTGTTCAAATGGTTTAATTTGCCATACTGACTTCAGAAAATGCGTGATTTCATAAAAAACATAAACATGCCGGAACGTCAATTTACAAATCAAAAGCGTGTGTGTCCACCTCTGGTTGCGATGCAAGTAACACATCTTCGTGTCATAGAATGGACCAGGCGTCGCACAAAGTCCTGTGGAATATCTGTCCATATCTGCTGGAGCATGTTGCGAAGTTCCTGGAGTGTCTGTGGAACACGTGATTGACGTCGAAGGCGCCGCCATCTCATCCCATATGTGCTCGATTGGTGAGAGATCAGGGGGCGAGCCGGCTAGGGGATAACATTCACGTTGTTTTGTTGAAGGGAATCCTGAACAAGTCGAGCAATATGAGGCCGGACGTTGTCATGTTGAAAGGTAATGCCTGGGCCATGACGACGCAAAAACGATAGAACAACAGGGCCGATCATCTCGTCGCGGTAGCGCTGTCCATATAGATTTCCCTCTACCACTATCAAACGGGTCCTGTCTTGCTGTAATCCCACCCCATACCATAGCGCTGCCGCCCCCGAACCGATCTTCTTCCATGACACAATGATTGACGTAACGTTCACCACGACGTCGGTACACTCGAATCAGTCCATCGCTGTGGCTGATGTGAAAACGAGACTCGTCAGTGAATAGAACTTGTCCCTACTGCATGGCCGTCCAGCGTAGACGCTGTCTGCACCACTGTAGACGTGCTTGACGGCGGATTCCTGTCAAAATGGGACGTCTGGCGGGTCTTCTTGCGACAATCCCTGCACATCTGAGGCGACGACGCACGGTTAGTGAAGATATTCGTCGAAGGCCAGGGATGCTGCTTGCAGTCACTGTTGCTGGCTGGAATCGATTTCGTAGGTGTGTTGTTCGAATCCAGTTGTCTTGTCGATTATTGGTTACGCGTTGCCTGCCACCCCGAGGATGGTCTCAGACTGCATTCGTCTGTTGGCAACGTTGCCATAAACACCAAATGGTGTTTCTGTGGACGTTAAATTGTCTTGCAACATCACGTTGACTCGATCCTGATTCAAGCAAACCAATGGCTCGTAGACGCTTATTTTCGGACAGGCGTGGCATTTCGTCATGTTGAATAAATGCGTCATTTTGTTGTTTTTTTCTGAGTGGTTGTTGTCACCACGATGCTTAACAATGCATATGGAATCCCGTAAACGCACATGTTTTTATACCCATTCTTGGGTAGTGAAATGCATGGGGCTTGCATAAAAGTCAACTTTTGCATGGAATGCATGCTTCTCTGTAGCAGTTGTGTTTTTGTGACTTGATTCCATACATGTACTACAATATTGAAAACCAAACCTTACTTGTTTGAAAAATACACTAATATATTGGTGTCATTGTTATCATTTAATGACTTGAATTACAAATCTTAAAAAGTGACATACTTACGTTTAGTACTAAGAAGCGGACATTAAATTGTCAAGTCAAGATGTCAAGCTATGTCGCAATGTTATCCTCTGTTTCCGGGATCTATTTACTAGGGCTGCAACGGTTCACCAATACTTCGATTCGGTTCGATGCTCGATTATTTCCATTCGATTCGATTATTTTCGATTCGATTCATTAGTCTAATAATATACAATGATTCATTTATAATATGCATAAATAAGTAACAAAACGTGTATTGACTTTAACTTTTTTATTGAACAGTGCAACACTGTGCACCAACAGGACAAACTCATCACCTCAGACTGTGAGGTCAAGCAGGTCATCAGGGATGATCATGTTTTTGGATAAAAACACAAGCATGTCCACATTGTCACCACTGAGGGAAGCCCTCTGAGCAGTCGCAACATCCCCGGCTGTTGAAAAGACCCTCTCACTAGCCACACTTGTGGCAGGTGTGCCAAGGCACTGTTTGGCATATTTTGACAAGGGATACTTTCCCTCTCTCATCCTCCACCAACTCAGTGGGTCAGACTCTAGGCTGGGCACCTCAACTTCTTTATACATACTGATCTCACTCTCTGTACGTTCATACAGACTTTTAGCTTCCTCCACATGGGTCACAAAGACATCACCAAACAGATCAGATAATGCACAACTCTCCTTGTCGCCCTTGGCTTATATTTTAGCAGGTGGTTCTGCATCATCATCGTTTTCAAGTGACAGTCGTCAAAAGTTTCAAACAAATGCATTTTTGGACATTTTCACTTCGTCGATATGAACGCAAGTCTTTTAATTTTTTTCGTCAACAAGGTAGGTTTTTTTGGTTAATTTTAAATTTATTACAAAAATTGGAATCAACCGAATCGAAATCTAGACATTGTAGATTGAAGATCGAATCGAGACGACGACAAGTACCGGTTCTCGGTGCACCGAACCGAACCGTTGCAGCCCTACTATTTACCCATGTCATTATTATACAATGTGCACCATACGCGCGCGCGCGCGCGCGCGTGTGTGTGTGTGTGTGTGTGTGTGTTTTGAGTACTGCTCTCTGACACTGAACCTATAAATGTGTATGTCGAAATGACCTGACTTACAAACATGGCTGGTAATACGAGTTGTTATTCTTGTAATTAATGCAGGATGCAACTATTTTTCTGATTCCCATATTAGCCTTCATGATATGCATAGCAGAATATTGGTTGGTTGGTTGGTTGGTTTGTTGATTAACGCCGCACTCAGCAATATTCCAGCTTTATGACGGCGGTCTGTAAATAATCGAGTCTGGACCAGACAATCCAGTGATTAATATCATGAGCATCGATCCACGCAATTGGGATCGATGACATGCATCAACCAAGTCAGCGAGCCTGACCACCCGATCCCGTTAGTCACCTCTTACGACAAGCATGGGTTGCTGAAGACCTATTCTATCCCGAATCTTCACGGGTCAGCAGAATATTAGCAGAATATTAAAAAACCTATTGCCGTTATAACCAAATCATAAAACGAATATGATAACTCTTGTTATTATTAAAACGTGTTGTCATCGAAGTCCTACAAAACGGGTAACCTTACACCACTTTATATTTACCTAATCTTTAAAGGTTTTATTGTGAAGAGAAATCGAGAGTCGCATAAATACGTACTGATCGCCAGCATAATGCCACGTATTGCAAATTGCCCGCAGATGTTACAATGCATGGATTTAACAGAACATAAATTGTTCAATGTATGTCATGTTAACCATGTATTCATAAAGCAAGAAAGCTACTGATACCAGACCGCAGCTGTTACAACTCTTGCTTACTAATTACCGAGTGAGCCTATATTGTCAACGTTAAATCATCATCCCTTGAATACGGGTATGTTTAAAATACAAGCTTGTGTGGGATACAAGATGAGTGCCGTCCTTCACAAAGAGCGATGTCAAAAATCGTTGTTGTTTTTTAATGTAACGTACGAAAATTCAATATTTCGCTTCGAGTGAAATATGAATTATATACTCTCAGGGCTAGACGTTGGTTGGTTGGTTTGTTGTTTAACGCCGCACTCAGCAATATTACAGCTAGATGACGGCGGTCTGTAAATAATCGAGTCTGGACCAGACAATCCAGTGATTAATATCATGAGCATCGATCCACAAAATTGGGATCATTGACATGCATCAACAAAGTCAGCGAGCGCCTGGCCACCCGATCCTGTTAGTCGCCTTATCAGGGCTTAACGTTTTCAATTAGTGCTTACAAACTGAGCATATGTATGTCTTGTCCATATTACCGTAACAATAGCTGGAATATTGCGGCGTTAAACAAACCAACCAACCAACCGTAACACAACGAAAATGCAATACCGATTTTAAAATGTCAGAAATGCATTATCATGGTTTGTTTGTTTGTTTGTTTGTTTGTTGTTTAACGTAGCTATATGACGGCGGTCTGTAAATAATCGAATCTTGACCAGACAATCCAGTGAATGATACCATGAGCATCGATCCACGCAATTGGGATACGATGACGCGCATCAACCAAGTCAACGAGCCTGACCACTCGATCCCGTTATAGTCGCCTATTACGACAAGCATGGACTAATGAAACCTACCTTTTCTCATTACCGTACCGCATCACCATGTATGGCCTTTGGCTGGTTTTTTTAGAAAAAGTTCCCACTCAGTTACACTAGGGTTAAACATATTTTGTACCGTGGGAGATACTTCACATTTTGTAGCTTTTTGTCGTTTAATGCACACTCTACATCAAAGAATGTCAAATATGTTCATAATAAAAGTAATATCTTTATATCGTTTGTTTGTTGTTTAACGCCGCACTCAGCAAAATTACAGCTATATTACGGCGGTCTGTAAATAATCGAGTCTGGACCAGACAATCCAGTGAGTAATGTCATTAGCATCGATCCACGCTGACATGTATCAACCAAGTCAGCGAGCCTGACCACCCGATTAGTCGCCTCATACGACAAGCATATATATAGTCGCCTTTTACGGCAAGTATGGGTTGCTGAAGACCTATTCTTCCCCGGATCTTCACTGGTAAATAACTCTATATCATTTACTTTACAGCAAAAGGGTGATCATTTTTGTGTTTGCTTGAGGGATTCGGGACGACATTAAGAGAACAATTTCTGATAAATTCATCCATTCCGAAGAAAAAAGTCTTGATAAATAGTGTTTATTAAAATATGCCAAATAATAAAGTCATCATCTAAAGTTTATCAAATGATGTATTTCAGTTAATATAGCTCTTCCTGTTCTTCTTAACAGCAACTGTTTCTTCCGTTGACCCATCAGATTTGATCCAACATCTCTTTCATCGTTAGTTCCAGCTCATCTATTTTCTTTTGCCACTCCTCTCTTATCTTCCTTTTGATTTCCTCTAACTTACGTCTTATCTCATCTTCACTCAACCCTGGCAATTCCTCAAGCTTCCTCTCCTGGTCTTCTTCCTCTTTCTTCTCCTCTTCTTCCATCTTTAATAGCTTCTCTTTCAATCTCCGTTCCAATTTTTCCCGTTCTTTGTCTTTCGTTTCTTTCAGCACACCCATCCTTTGCCTGTCCTTAGACATCATGGTCTTCCACAAATCCAAATTATCCTTCCACAATGACGTATGGTTTTGACGCCTTGCTCTTAAACTCTCCCACGCCCCCTTTATCTTTTTGTCCCCCTCTATTTCTAGCAGCTTCTGAACACAGACCTCTGTGTCCAACTCCCAATCACACTCCTCCTCTGATGGCTCTGTAACCAAAAGCAACACTAATAGAGCAACTGTTTGGTTTGGTTTGGTATGTTGTTTTACGCCACACTCAGCAATATTGCAGCTATATGACGGTCTGTAAATAATCCAGTCTGGACCAGACAATCCAGTGATTGACATCATGAACATCGACGCAATTGAGATCGATGACATGCATCAACCAAGTCAGCGAGCCTGAACAGTCGCCTTTTACGACAAGCATAGTCGACTTTTACGGCAATCATGGGTTGCTGAAGATCTATCCCACACCGGATCTTCACGGGTCAATAGAGCAACTGATATTCGCCAAGCAATAATTTACTTGTATTCCGTAATGTCTGTCACATATTATTATAAAGTGACGTCATAATCGGAGCATATTGCCGTGGTATTTATATTCACTTTTGCTGTATATAGTGGGATTTACATACATTGTTTGATTAATAACCCCGCGTTGTTAATGGGATGACTTTTATTCAATCACTCAATGTCCGCGCTGTTTCACATCAACGATAAACTTGAATGTTTAATTTCATGTACTGAACACTTTTCGAGTTGTTAGCTGAACACATAAATACAAGGGACATCCAGACATTTGAATTCACCATTGTACACGCGGGAAAAAGTAACTGCTTCATATAAGGTGTTGTAATTGTCATGCTATTGAAACTAAGTTAAATATTTGGTCATTCGCCAAATGAATACTTTATCATAATAAATTCATTGACAAAGACCACACTTGGTAATTATGATACGAGAAAGATCAACAGGCCCTAAAAGAGGGACGGTGTAATCACCATTTGTGTTGATACAGGCAGCGGCGATGAAGTGAAGACATCAGATTTATGAAAACAACCTGGGGAAAATGTCAATCAAAGATTGGTCCAACTGAGCTAGCGATACCGACTGCCTCTGATTCTGTCGTTGGCGTCGGCAATCTCTTTCCAGACATGTTATTTGGGTGAGAGAAATAGCCGGCCATAGCAGTTCAGCATTGTTGTGCTGTCTCAAAAGATCTGTTACAACACGTGCAACATGTGGGCGGGCATATGCTCATAGGTCTCCCCGATTGACAGTAACAATGATGAGTTGTTCTTCCATTGGTTGTGATGCCGTCCCATACCCTTACTCTTCCACCCCCAAACTGACGAAGTTGAGTAACGCAAGAGTCGATATAAACATTCTCCTGGACGCCTGTTGACCTTGCAATGCGAGGCCATAAGAGCTGTCCAGATGAAACCTGGACTAATCTGAACAGTACACTGTCCAAATAATGTGTGTTGCCCTGCTGTAGATGACGTCTCCAAACACTTGATATTGTGATTCGATGACCATTAAAATGTCTTGCCACTTCGTTGTGCGCCATTCCTGTTTGTAGCATACCCATGGCGCGCAGACGTTGAGTTTCAGCAAGCCGTGCCATTGCGGTTTAACAAAAGTGTTTTATGAGCACCTGACAGCTAAACAATCAGTATGTGCTGTTGACATTGGAAAAGCATGTGTAGGGGTATCATTCAAATTGTGCACCGTGCCAATTATGAAATACGACTCTCAGGTCGTGGAGATGTCTTTATGAATATGTATTGAAAGACACATTGTATAATTTCAGAAAACATATATTTTTTGTTGAAATTTATATGAAGCACAGTTACTTATTTCCGTTTGTATGATAAACAGTGCCCTACATCTGATCAAACAATGAGATAATGTCACCTTCAGTTAAAGGTGTCTTTTCCGTGGCGAAGTTAAAAAACACCAATGGCGCTTCAAAACCGTGTTTCTCAACTTGATACACATCAGCAGTCACGACCACTGCAGCCACCAACACCAACAGTGGCACCAGAAGTATTCTTGGCAACATCATGCACTGAATAAACAAAAACAATTTAAATTATTTTTTATGTACAATCTTGTAGCAATACAGACATTAAAGTATAACAATAACAGTCAAAGTAAATCATTATGGAAGGAACGTTTGTTTGATTGTTAATTGTATAACGCCACACTCAGCAATATTCCAGCTATATGACGGCGGTCTGTAAATAATCGAGTATGGACAAGACAATCCAGTGAATGATATCATGCGTATCGATCCACGCAATTGGGATCAATGACATGCTTCAACCACATCATGCTCTACTGGGAGAGGTCAGGACCATTGCATTCTGATGATGTTTTGCTGTTGGAGGTAGTCATGTTGCCTCAGGTTGACGTTCGCTCGACGATTGTTCGGACGCCTCCAGAAGTCCACACATACCCAGAAAGTCTGGAGTGAATCTGAAATCATCTGATAGCACTACACGAAATAATCGGCGGTTCCGAAAGTTTCTTAAACATCATTTTATTTTTCAAACTTTTTTTTATTCGATTTGAGTAGTATACGGAGAATATATTAAGGACGGTGTGACATAACAGCATGCGATATTAATTTAATTGTTAATGTTGGGAGGCATTATTCTTACACAATGGACTTTTGGGTACAAACACGTGAATAATGTATTCAGAATTGTAATTACATATTTTATGAGTGCTTCAGTCGATCAGTGGTGTCAGGCACTTGATTTGAAGACATAAAAATAGAATCAAATTAGATAAAATTGTTTGCTGTGGTTACAGAATTAGTTATTATAAATACATTGATAAACTATGAGTAATCAAATATAAAGTGATTCTTGATCAAACAGAGTATGTTTACCAAATAGTTCAATTTTTTTGTGATATAAATATTGAGTGTTATTGTAAAAATCAATCTATGTTTCTGTTTTACAAGTGTGTTAAGGGATAACATTTGCTGTTTGATGCTTGAGACAAAAAAATCTTTTACATGCTTCGAGAATATGGTTCACAACAGTGTTATCAGTTTCAAGTCTGACCCGTGAAGATCCGGGGCCTAACGGGTCTTCAGCACCCAATGCTTGCCGTAAATGGCGACTATGCTGGTCGTAAGAGGCGACTAACGGGATCGGGTGGTCAGGCTCGCTGATTTGGTTTCAAGCATGTCATCGATCCCAATTGCGTGGATCGATGCTCATGATATCAATCACTGGATTGTCTTGTTCAGACTCGATTATTTACAAACCGCCGTCATATAGCTGAAATATTGCTGTGTGCGGCGTTGAACAACATATAAAATTTGAATATATAACTGATAACTTCTTTACTGCACATGTAAAAAATGTAACGCCGTTGTCAAGCACCTGCTATACACGATACACGTTGTATGAACAGATACCATACAGTCAGCATGAACTGTGTGAATACAACGAAGTGGGAAATCTTGTTGTTGTACACAGAGGATTAACATGAGGAGATTACAGTGATGGAAGCAAGTTGGGTGAAGCGGGGCTGGAAACCAGTATTGCAGATGAGTTTCAACTTGGTATAATTAGTTCCTGGTAAGCTGTAATCATGAACAGGTCGATGGTCAACATCTTTCTTATAGAATCTACACATCTCTCTACAAATGTAATATAGAAGTTGATATAGAAGTTGTCATCAGTTATCTCTGATATATTGCTTATAAGACGTCATGGGGCACGCGTACCTACCTCACACAGAGCTCCTTGTCGGACTTGCCACTGGACTGTCGAGTTCCACCGAGTAATGATGGCTTACAGCCATTCCATAAATGTACAGGTGGTGCAATGAATCATGAAATCTTAAACGCACATAATTACTGTTAGGAATAGATGCGGTTTCAACTGTCTTATTCATGATATTACACTAGAATGATTGCTATCAATGATGTATAGTTTCAGGCATAACTAGCGACAAGCATTCTCTGCATACCTTTCATTATTGGTTATTTTTTCAGGTAAAACAGATGACACGAATAAAACTGATTAAACTGATACAATTGATACATACCTGCGTTAGCACCTGTAAACAGGATATTAGTTGTATTTTATTCATGAAATCAACATATGTGTTCTACGAATTATTATATATTTGAGGTTTTAATTCTATATAAAATGTACTAAGATTCAAAAGCACCCTACGAGGGCCTAATTATATAATATATTTTATTTTTTTCTAATAACGGACCATGGGCGATATAAGTAGTGATGGTTCAGGTGGATATGTTCTCATATATATGATAATTATCCACGTTAAGAGATGTACATAACGGAGTACTTGACACACATGTACATCGCATTATGGTAGTGAGGTGTTTATAAAATCAGTCACATGTGTAAATCTGAAGCAAGAATATTTCCAGTTAAACCATGACTTACATACGCGTATGAGCATTAGATTCTGCTGAGGCAATCAAAGGTTTCAAATCTCAACAACATACCCTTTATTCAAACAACCCAAATTCCGTAATATTTCTGGATTCTTCTTCAAGCCCAATCTACAAGAACTTTCCAATATTGATACAGAGGACCTTTTTTAATTAACACTTCAATTTTTGCTTAAAGGAATGGGGATGGTAATTGGTCGTCCGTTTATGAGGTAAAAAACATTCAAAGATTTCCTCAGAATAAAAGCAATATTTCTTTCAAACTATTTGAAGTCTAGACACCTAGAAACGTCAACAACACTCTGTTTAATCTAAAGGTTAAAATTGAGGGGGAAACCGGAAGGCGTAAAACCAGTCATAAACTCCAGCTGTGTGCCATCTCATCTCCACCGTTGTATAAACTGTGGCTTTTGGTATTGACTCTACCCTTGAATGTTGAAGCAGGAACGTTCAAGAACACTATTTTGGATTGCTTGACTTTTAATTTGAGATGGCATGAAATAACACAGATTCATCGCATTTTAGTCGTACTCCGAGACTCCAGTAGCAACGTTCAAAAACAATAATGAAATTCACAATTTCCAAAGCTATTGATACCCATATATGAAATTGTAATTGTAGATCAATCTACGATTGACAGGGATGTACTATTAAGTAAGTGTCTGCATGGTATAAAGATATAGTCGGCACAATATCGTGATCGTGATAACGACTTCACATTGCCCGGCCGCCTCGATATGGCAAATATTAACTACTGGGTCACGCACACCTTCAATGAAACATTGTGCTCAGGAACAACACATTCAGTACGATAGCAGTTCTCCTTATGTTATTTTCGCCTGTCACTGACGTACAATGTATGTTTCATTTATACGTGAAAATGTCGACGCCTTCATTGTTGACACAAATTTAAACTAACAGAGACTGGATGAGTCTACTGAATATGGCAGTCCTACGTGCTGTGTGTCTCAACAATCTGTAATGTTCGAAAAACGAAGTGAATAGTTATTGTTGCTTTGATTACACATTCTGTTCAACTCTTTGCTTTCAACATTACAGTGGATGCGATTCAAGAAAGCCACATGTGTTCATGTATAGTATTCAACATGGCTTTCTTATGTTGTGTCAATATAACCGCCTCGGTGGTGTCTTGAGTCAAATGTTCGATCACCTTGGCCTCGACTTGCCAAACTGACATTTAAGATCGTACCTGTCTTACCCTGCCTGACGCTCGGCAGGAAGGTGTTCAGACAAATACTGTCCGGCTCGGAGTCAGTATATAATGCGTCTAGTGGGATTAGACGGTATTAGTACAGGCATACAGGCACGCACACACGTGCATGCACGCTGCTATACCAACAGAAATATATACTTTGCTCACCATCACTCAAACTTACGTTTCCAGGTATGTGCTCTTACACAGACATATTAATGAAATCGAAACAGAAACTGTTCACGGTGACTTGATGTGAATCAGTGTTTTTATTGTGTGATAAGACAAGATTAAAAGGTTTAGAAAATATAAAACGTCAACGCAAGAGAATAACCATTCTCGTTTATCCGCCGAAACAGACTCCAGCGGTGGATTAATGTACATACATGTATGTCAGCACACTTTAGAATGTTTGGTGTATCATAGAAATATGTGTAGATTACTTGTTTTTGGAGAAATTCGAGAACTCAAATATTAATGAAATCGTTCATCGTCTACAATATTGAAACGTTTGACATCCGAGGTGTATATATTCACATCTACGTCGTTGTTTATTTATGCAGTAATTGGAGATACAGTGGCCTGGAGAGAATGACTCTTCATTAGACGAACAACATCTGCGGTCTGTATAACTGCACTACATTCCAATTCCAGAACCAGAATCCTATTTATCAAATTTACGGTACAGGAATTCTCGTAACACGCTTATTCGTTTTAGACTTGGCCTGAATGATCTAAAAATTAACACAGGGAGAATTTCATCTATTGAGAAATCGATACGATTATGCCCATTTTGTGACATTGTTGTCGAAGATGAATACCATTTCATGTTTATTTGCCCTATATACGAAAATCTAAGAGACAAGTACTTACCGCAGTGGTCTCTATCTCATTTTAATGCTAAAAGATTGTCTTCATTACTGTCTTGCAAGGATCTTATAACACAACATCAACTGGCTTTGTACATACATAATGCTTTTTTGTTACGAAGTGAATTGTTACCTTGACTTTGTATTTTATAAAATATGTTATGTAACTCCGTTGTATATGGGCCTGTGGCCTTTCATACAATAAAGAATTGAATTGAATTGAAATTCCACCACAACCGATTGTTAAAACACACCAATACAATACACTTTGTATTGGTGTTTCGGATATTGAATCTAACCTTCATAACTTAAAATGTCAACAGTTAGCTATTTCAGTTTGGAACCCCTCCGTGGTTTAGTGACAGAGCATCTACCTGAAGAGCGGAAAGTCGGGTTATCGATCCCCGGCCGCGTCACACTAAAAGGCGGTAAAATATGGTACTTGTTGTAACCCTACCTGGCGCTTGGCATTAAGGGATTAAAACAAGGACTGGTCGGCTCGGAGTCAGTATACTGTGTCTGAGCTGGGTATTCATGTTAAACTGCGGCATGATATCTCAGTGGGCTAGCACAATAAATCGGCATCAGTCCGGACTAGTTCAGGCAGCCACACACGCACACATGTGCACTCACATTGCTATATAAGTGCAAATATCTTGGAGGCGACGTTTTACCCCATTTCACCTCACCTTCACATCTTTGCAAAACCTATTTACTTTTCAGGCCTGTGGTGAGGCTTCTTTATCACGAATTGACATATAATTTGTATAGCCTTCTTTCAGTAAAGAACTGGTCACATGTGTATGGTTCAATATAGTTCACCAATGTAAATGTTTGGTCTCACTGCGCCATGCAAGTTATGCAAATAATATCTCAGTTAAACATTTCCCGTGCTTTGACTTCAGTACATACAGCTGTAGAAAATGCTCATTGTTTATTTTGGCGTTCTGGTATTAGATCTAGTCTGCTATTGAAAACATGTACCTGGTTTCTACATGAAGGCACACTGTCTACCTTTGAGGAGATGCATGTACGATTAACATTTTCTAAAACAGGTGAAAGGAATGAACATGAATTTCACAGATAACAAAAACGCTTATCACAAATTTATAACATGGTGGCCTCAACATCAGTTTATTGAGTATTTAGGCAGTATTGACCTTCCCCGTCTCTTTCTTCTGTTGCATCTCCAACATCTTTGTTTTGTGTTTCTCCATCTTCTTTTGCCACGCCTGTTGTATCGTCTGTGTGATCTGATTTGATTTGATTCTCATTGCACTTTCATTCAATCCTCCTCCCTTTGCCACTTCCTCCAACCTGTTCCGGCGCTCATCACCCTTCTCCTCTTTCGTGATCACTATTTGCTGATTTTCCATTTCTTTGTTTCCGATTTCTTTCGTCTTTCCCTGAAACATATTCTCCTGTCCTGGATCCTCCTGTGCTGATGACTGCCTCTGTCTGTCTGTTTCTTCTTCCCTTGTTTAATATCCTTTACACGTTTCTCCCACTCCACTCCTTGTTACTTCATGTCTTCGGCCTTTTTGTTTAGCCACAATACCAAACCCTCATGCAGTATATTATTTCTACTCTTCAGCATTGCTTTTAACTTCCTCTTCGCCTCAGTTATCATTTCCAAACCCTCCTTCGCTTCCATCTTCTCTATGCAGGCTTTAATGTTCAGAGGCCACTCGCATTTCACCTTGGACCCTTCTGTAAACACAACACAGATTCAATAACAAGATTTACGATATATACAGCCCACATAGTAAACTTAATTATTCCTTAATTACGGCGCGGTCCCGTGCAGATTTCGGGTACGAATACATGTATAGGTCCCCAGAAACCTTGTGGTAAGAGGCAACCAATTGGATCGGGTAGTCAGGCTCGGTAACTTGGTTAATTCCATGTCATCGTATCCCACACGCACGGATCGAAGTTCATGGCGCCAGTCACTGGGATGCCATCACTGACATAATCGCCAACCCTTGGCGTGAATAGCGCTGAATGCCCCGCTAAACAACAAACAAATAAATGTTATCATGGGTACAACGTTTGCAATTTTTTATCGACAAAACAACTAATACGATATACAATTATAATAAACCATATTTAGACATTTAGTCAGTGATTAATGACGACATTTAAATACTGGTATACATATTTTGTTGTTTGTTGTTTAACGCTGCACTCCGATATTCCACTTCTTTAGGAACATCGGTGCAAATGCATGTTGTTTGCTCGTCATGACATCATGAAGAATATACATTTTGTGAAAAGAAACACATAAACTTATATCATGTAGGATCAAGATAATCCGATTGAATGCCCAGTCTTGTCGTGTCGAAATGTTTTAACAATT